AAAGAACATGATGTTAATATATAGTTCTAATCAATTTTATTATTTGTAATATGCATTATATAAAGTCTAATAAATTTAATTATGTGATATATTGCTATATCGCTAGTTTAATATTTTTTAAATATTTTTTTTAGAGGCGTCAAATATTGATATCACGCCCTCTAAGATAAATTTATGATAATCGCGAGACGCAGTGTAAAATTTTTTCCTTTATAATATATTAAAATTAAAAATATTAGATATGTAAATTAATTTAACCTAAATTTAATCTAAAATTATATTATTAAAATTAGCTAAATTTTAAATTATCTTATTTATAGCTGAATGATATAATTAAATTAAATTAATAAATTCAAATATAATAATTTTATTAGATAAATAAATTTAGAAGTAAATATAAATGATATTTTAAATTAATACTAAAAAATATAATTTATCTATTACAGATATTTTCTATTCAGATTAATAGTTAATATTCTTTTACATTTAACTGAATTAAAATTTAATAGTTTACTTATATAAATTGGTTTAAAATATAAAAAATTAGTATAATGCTATTATAACTTTCTAAACATAAAACAATATCTTATAATTCAATATTACATATTTTACATTATTATTAAAATAATATCAAATATTTAAAAAACTTGCAAGTTAATATTAGCAGCTAATCTAGATGACAATTCAACTATATAAATAAAATATTATTGAAATAACAATAATATTATTATTTATAATAACTTTAATTAAAATAGATAAATTTTTAATATGTCATAAAAGTATTAATAAACTAAAGATTTTAGAATTAATTTAATACTTTTTGAATTGATTTAAATTATTATAATACTTTTTAAATTCTTATCAAATAGCTTTTAAAATTTAAACATATTTTAAATTACTATATAATATTAAAATAAGCATTTTATTTAAAAGATTAATATTATCAAATAATAGTTAATTATCATATTTCTTCAAAAATAAGTACTCTTCAAAAATAAGTACGATCACAATTTATTAATATCTGAATATAAGCATCTCACAATTTATTTAATTAAAATTTTATTATTATTTATTATTATTTTAGCACTCATATGACATTTATATATTATATAACTAGTTGTAAAAAATGTTTATTTTAATAAATATTTAAAGATTATTTTATCATTATTAAATGTTATCGCCTTAATTACTATTAATACTATTATTATCATTAATGTTTCCATTTACATTATAATCATTATCAATATATATAACAGAGAAAAGTACATTTAATTTGTTTTACTAATTTAACATATTCTTATACATAGTTCTTTAGTCTATACAGTTAGCTAGAAAATTTGAAAGAATAATGGTAGGAGTTGATCTACGAATTCATGAAACCTTTCAGGTAAGGAAAATGAGTACAAAAAAAATGCTTAAATAAGTTCATAAAATATATTTTATGTAGAACGAACTAAATAATCACACCTTTCGACAAGAAGGGAAAAAAATAATCTTAAATAACTTTTATCTGATATTAATTATTAATACTTGGGACATTTGGTCTCTTCTTTAGACCTATACTTACCCGTCTTCAGAGAAGATGAAATTAAAAATGAAAAAAGATTATTTGATGAGAAGTTTAGAATGCTTAGCAGAAAGCTTGATATTAATTCAACTGAATCAAGATTTATGACCATCAACTGTAAATATAACGTACTCAAAAGAGACTCAAAAAAGAATAGCTGTGAAGTACATAATAGATGCTTCAGTTCATTGCAAAGTATCAATGAACAATAAGGTAGCAATATCAAGAGTATAAAATATGCAAATGTTGAATTAGATATCAGATGTGAAGAATGTTCTAATCAAAGGTCAATTGGAATTTTGCAGGTATAATTTGAAAAATTATTCAGAATCAGTGCCTTAGGAGCCAATGTATAGACAATTAAAACCCCTTCAAAAATGTGTCATCTTGTATATGCGCACCCTTTCTCAACCTAAGGGTCAACAACTATTGAAGATAAAGGAACTATATCTCAAGTGCGAGCATGTACAGTCTAAAATAGAAAAATATTACGTTATAACAATAATTCTATATTAATTGATACTTTTGAGAAATTTGGTCGATCTCGTATTAGAACTTTTATTAGTCTTAAGATTCTCAAGAATAGTGATCCAAAAGAACTAATTAGCTATATAGCAAGTGTTGTAAAATTTGATTTTAATTATATAATTATTATTGGGAAGATTTACTCTAGAATTATTTTTTTAGATTGTTATGCTCATGTTTTTGTGTGAGAAGATAAAGATCAAATGGTGTTTTCATTTGAGAATTCCCCTAAAGAAGCATCAAAAAGATTAATAGGAGAAAATGATTTATGAAGAATGAAAATATATATAAATATATTAAGGACCTTAATGTAAGTATCCAAAAAGTTATTATAATAATAGATACATTTAATTGCTGGTATTTTTTATTTAATTTTTGTACTATTTTTTTTAGCTTGATACAATAAGGGAAAGTAAAACAAGAAAGATAAAAGTTTGAAATGAAAGGTATCATTAATATGTTAATTATGCATTATTTTAAAAAATTAAATGTATTTTAATCTTAATAAAGTATGTTATTGCGTCATAAGTCAAATATAATTTTATATCATAACCTTAGTAGTAATTCTTAATCATTATGTATCTGTAATCTATATATATAAATATCAATAAGTTCGCATCTCAGGCATATAATTTTTACATATGTACAGATGAAAGTATGCATAATGGTATTGTATATTTTTGATCGCTTAACAGTAGAGATGTAAAAAAAAATAAATCATGTAAGATTGATCACCTGAAATGTGCGATGTAATATCAGAATAATTGTATAATGCAAATTGCATATATATTCTTTTGACTTGATTTTGTATTAATCTTTCTTTGCATGCTATATCTCTAGATATGCTATTATTATATTATAAAATAATATTCAGGTATAGATATTTTTTCTAGCAATCACTATTTCGCATATGAGATTTAGAAGTCATTTTTATCAATTTGCAAGGGATTAGAATAGAAGTTTTTATAATTAACATTTATTTTGTTATATTGATATTACCATTTTATAATCTTTTCGAGACTTGAAGGCTTTAATGATATATGATTGAACATCCATTTGAGAATCCCTAATTTTTTAGCTTTTTTAACAATAAATTACCAATCATATTGTGAATCGTTAAAATCTATTTTAGTCAGAGAATTTACCAAATATATCATAATGATCATTTCCTATTATAATAATAAATCTGCTGATCAGAATATTCTAGAATACTTCAATTATGATTGGTCAAAATTACAGAATTAAAAAGTTTTAAAATATTTATTGTATCTGTATTTAATACCAATAAAATTTATAACATATGCGCAATAAAAAGTAATTTTTTCAATATCTGTTTTACCAACAAGTGATTTTTCAACAGATTGGCTAAAGTTATTTATAACATAAGCAAATCGTTAAAGAAATAGACGTTCAAAAAGCAGATTTTGAATAAATTTGCTATTGGTTAAATTATTGTTGTGAAGAAATTTCTGTTAGAAAAATTGCTGTCAGAGTAGTCAGAAAATTGTTAGAAACATACCACCAGAGAAATCGCTGTTTGGAAAAACGCCGTCAGAGAAATTACTGCTATTGGTGTGAAATGCTGTTGGTGTAAAATGCCATTGGTGTGAAATACTATTGGAAAAATGCTGTTAGAGAAATTGCTATAGGAAATTTCTATTAGAGAATAAGAAAAAAAAATTATTGTTAGTCGTTAAATTAATTATGCGATTTGAATGTATGCTTTATATCTTGTAATATATTTAATAGTTCGCTTCGTTTTTTTGATTTCAGTCTAGGATATTCTTTCTGAGCATTCTCACAATGTTTAAGGAGAGTTTTGATTTTTAATATGAGTTCAGCTCTGTTCATATTTTCTTCGTTTTCTTGTACATCTGCTTCTTGTTTTGTAATTGGTATTGGTCTAAAAAAAGGAGGTGGATTTTTGTTAATAAATACTTCAATAATAAAATTTTGCTGAGCCTGCTTTGCTAAATGTGTAAAGTTTTTAAGTGTTCACTCAATTCATGATGTTCTCCTAGATTTTGATAAACTGATCTCACATTTATCAGATTGGTAAATTCAAAACTTCTTAAATGAATTCAGAATCTTTGGCATTCTATAGTAGATTCCGGTTGAGTTCTTAGTCCAGATGTTTGAAGATCATTGTAACCGATTAATTTAAATAGATTATCTCTAAACTCAAAAAACCTTTTGCAATTACGCGCAGCAACTTTCCAATAATGATACTGTAAAACAGGAGGTATTAAAGTCTTCAAAGCCTTGTTTACTTCCTCAATAATTGCATCCAATCCTTGGTGTTGTTCGTAAATGCCTGATCTAGAAATGACACAATTCTTCTTTATAGTCTTGCATACTTCTGGATGAAGTCGCATCAATTGAACTTCATCAGCAACCTCTATTAAGTGATAAATCAGATGTCGTCTTACAGACCAATTCAGAGAAAATGTTCTTCTAACAGTTCTCTTTAAGAATGGGTTATTAGTTCTTGTGATTTTCCGGTAATTAATATTTGCCTAAAGATAAATAAATATTTACTCATATTTTATTTAATAGAGCGGGTCTTATTGTTCTTTAACCCAGGTAAGATATCCTTCAACTGAAGGATTAGAATGGCTTTTTACGTATGACCACATGAGCTCCATTGCTATTGCCTGACGATATATGTCACAGACAGAATCCCAAGACTTGTGATGATCTATACACTTTTTAAAATACCCAAGCTGATTTTCTGTCTGATAACCT